CTCAACAATAAATTACAAGTAAAAAAAAAAAAATGTGATAAAGAGAGAACCTACACATTTAAAACGTATCATAGGAGACATATGAAGCAATTGGAAAGTAGGGACCTTCTATGATGCTTACTTTGAATATTCAGGTTGTTTAAAAAATTTTTTCAACAGGAAGCCCTGAAAATTAAGTAGATATCTGATGATATAAAGAAATTTCTGTGAATTATACTAGTTGTGATAATGGTATTCTTATGGAGTAGGTTGTTTGATCATTCTCTTTTAGAAAGACATACTAAGGAAATAATAAATCTTTTGGAAAATCAGTGTTGAGTCCAGAGATATAACTGGTGTTGTATAGGACCCAGACATCTTATTAACCCTGTGCCCAGGTGACTCTAATGAGCAACCTGGTTTTGTTGCTGATCTGGTATAAGTAAGATCAATAGAATAAAGAATTCAACCAAGTCATGAAAACAACTACACCTACCTCTTTTGAAATCTGTATTTATTATTGGCATTCATGGCTAAAACCTAAATTTCTAGGGCCTCCCTGGTGGCACAGGCGGTTGAGCGCCACACTATAAAGCTGTTCGCAGCCTCTGCAGCGAGGGTTCAATCCCGGCAGGCCTGTGAGAATCCCACATGGCGCGGCAGACCTCTCCTGTCTGTTCCCCTCAGCAGTGTGTTCTGTCAGTCTGCCTGTTTTGTTCCCCACTCTCTCTGGTGAATCCTCTCACCCTCCCACACATCTGGCCTGTACCCCAGCACCAACATAAATTAAAATAAATCTTTAAAAAAATAAAATAAAATAAACCTACATTTCTAAATTCTACTGTACTTATTTTTTAGATTTTAACTAAGTATATGTTTACTTAGCTCTATTTAGCTTCCTAACTTAAAAAAAAAACTTTTCTTATCTTCCTATATATATTGAACAAACCAGAAGCAACAATGGCAAAAGCCTTAATGCCCACGTACAAGGCAATTAGTAACACCTAAGAACAAAATTAGCAAGATTAATGAGAAAGCATCTTCAATAAAGCAACTGGAGTAGAGCATTAAAAATCTCTGAACTATGTTAGAGGTTACTAATGATAAATCACTTCATTCCACTTTAGTCTGATTTCTCTTATTTGGCTTTTTTTATCATCTTGTACATAGCCAATGCAGGAAGAACAATTGCTAAGAAATACCTTAATGAGGAAATGATCACTTTCAATCTTCAATAAACACCTCTTGGATAGAAAGATAAGAAAAATGGTTAATGAGTACCTAATTATTTGATTATAGTGGTAAATAAAATATTCCTTTAATTTACCCTATAGGCTGCCATATAATTGTCACATAGTGAAATGACAGGATGCCATGATATATCTAGCCAGGGGCTTTTCTTTTCTTTTTTTTTTTTTTTTAAGATTTATTTATTTATACAAGCACTGGGTATAGTCAGAAGCACGGGAGGATAAGAGAATTCACCAGAGTCAGAGCGAGAGCAGAACATGCAGACCGACGAAGTACACTGCTGAGGGGAGCAGCGGGCGGCAGGAGAGGTCTGCGCGCCATGTGGGACCCTCACCAGTGGCCGGGGATCGAACCGGTGCTGCAGAGGCTGCGGGCAGCTTTGCAACCTAGCGTTCAATCGCTGTACCACTGGGGAGGCCCTAGCCAGGGGCTTTTCTCTGATTTAAAAATCCGGCTCTCCTTAAAAGCAAGGACAAATGGGAAGGAATTTCCCAATCCAAATATTATATATTGGAGCTTTAGCAGAGAATAATTGCTGTCTCCATACTCAAATCATCCACAAAATATGATGAACAGTTATGGGGACATAGATTATATAAAGTTCAGAACTAGTTCACACACCTAATGAATCAAACCATGATAATATATATATATATTATATAATATATATATATAATATACACACACACACAATGAAGTGTATCAAAAATATCAGGAGGAGTAAGGCTTTACATTTGCCAGGTCATGCAAATTTCTCTTCTGATTTATTCAAAGTCAGTGCATCTAAACTAACTCTTTGACCAAAACGTTCTGCAAATCCAAAGCGGTTAAAAATAATTTAAAGCAACAGAGGTGTTTCCTAAAACAATTTAAAAATAAAAGAACACATTCTCTAAAACCCTGACTTTAAACACATATGAAAACCTAGGGGGAAGTTATTACACTGAGTTGTTGTGTTAGTTACACATTCAAAAAGGGCATCTTAGGCATAGAGTGATATGTTCCAAAATGTTTTTGAGATTAAACTACTTGCTGACAGAAGTTTAGAATAAGTTTCAGTTGTTATTTCACGACTACCACTAAGTCTGAAAAGACTAGTTCATCAGGGCTAAGGTATACTTTGCCTGAAAAAAACAATTGTAGAAAGAGAGAAAAAAGGGCTTTTTAGAGAAGGTCATTGAAAGAAAAATTGTGACCTCAGCTAGGTGGGAACTTGGCTATTCAATGGCTGTGTGTGGGTAGGAACAAACTTGAAGTCTAGATAAACTGGAGGGAGGAGGAAGAAAGTGCACTGGGGAAGATAAAGGATATATATATTTAGACAGGTAAGATACTAAGTAAGTAGGCTCCAAGGACAGAATTACCAGTTAGGTAAGTAACTCAAGTCATGATTAGAGAGATGTTTTACAAATATTTGCTAACTAGTATATGATTAGTAAAACAACTTTGGAAAATACTGTGTTCAAACTAAATCTAGTTTGACTTGTAATTCAGGTTTATTAAGCCTTTTCTTGGGTTTTATTTTCCAGCCCATTAATCTTTATTGATATTCTCTAAAATGTCTTCTAAGTTTCTACTGCTTTACATTTAGAGAAATAAAAATAAAAAAATAATAATTGGGTTCTAGAATAAGTAGGAAAAAATTATTCTTGTTTACACTTTATAGGACTTGTAGGTTTTCCATTAAAAGTATGTGGCATTTCAAAATAAATATCTTTAAATTTAGCTCGACAACCAAACATATTCCAGGAAAGGGCATTTAATGAACCTTTCCTATTCAGTATTTCAACTTCTCTTTCCAATGTCATAAGATTTTTGCGTTTTGTATTTCTGGGTAATCTGAAAGTAATTTCTGTCAGACAACTTATAATTCTGGCCATTTTTATGGGCAAGGAAAAGATTAGTATTCAGTGTCCGTTAATAATAAAATTACCAAGAAATAGTTCCATTCAGAATATTTTCTTTTTACAGAAGTCACACATTGCCATATAAGTGGCAATAAGACACTTTATCATTTAATATTACCATATTTACATATAACTTTTAGTTCTTAATCGTACTCTGACATCCCCGTTAGTTTTTTAGAGTGGTTTTCCTCCGTTTTAATATGACTTGAAAATCATAAAGAGCAGAGAGAAGGGGGAAAAGATAAAGGGAATGAGGGAGAGAAGTTCCAGAGAAGGAAGTGAGTAAAAGGGGGAGTGGGAGAAGTGGGAAAAAGGGAAAGAAAAAAACTTAAACACAAACACTAAAATTTTAACATGCTATATGGCAGAAACAGCGCTTTAAGAGATCTGCTTCTAGTTCCAGTTTCACCGGTAACCAGCTATATGACTTCCTGTGAGTCACTTAATTATGTTTCTTAAATAGTAAAGCGAATTTAGCTTAATATTCATTTCAGATTTGGCTTTTTAAAAATCAACTACAGTTAAAAAGTATTTTTCAACTTCTGTATTATAACAGCTCAATTAAGTACATCCTCTTGCCATATGGAGTTAGTTCTTCACTTTCATCTCCATGTGACCTGAGATCTGAATTACTTACGCTGCACACTGTACTTTGGAGGAAGATGGACAGGGAAGAGATTCCTTTATATAAGATGAGCTAGAGCTGAGAGGTGAGGGAGTTCAGGACAGAGTGCATACGTATGCAATAAGACCTAATTGTCCTCAAATCAGGAGCACAGATGAACACTGCTTAAATTTCAACGGTGGGGGTAGCAGAACAAGATGAGGAAGGCCTTGAGCAGAGGCTTTTAAGATAACCATTCTCCACCCTTTACACCCATGTTCCCCCAGTGGACACCAAACCAATCTCCAGTTCCGGGTTGCCAACCAATCGCATCAAGCCACAACAGAGGGATCTGCTAACCCGGGCACTGTTTCAGGGCTCTACAGTGAGATTCACACGACCCCAGCACCTGTCGGCCTCACACCCTTCCCAAGAGCAAGGAGTGGGAGAGGACAGTAGGTCCATCCCCGGTTCTTTTCGATTCAGGCTACCTTCTGGTCCATCAGTCCCAATACTGAAAACCACTCTGCACTCCGGGGGAGTGACCCTACCCCGTATCCTTCCCCCCAGGGCTAATTCTCCAATTTACAAGTCCCAACCTCCGACCGTGGTTTCTCAGGCCGCAGGGAACCGGGCCTGGGAGGCAGACAGACGGGATGCCGAAAGTAAACGCAGCGGAGGAGGATGCGCTCCTCGCCACTGGAAGAAAGGCTAGGAAAGCAGGGTTTTGGGAGCTGTGTTCCCACTCGGCGAAGGCGGGAGGCCGTCCGTGAGTCTGTCGAAGGGTCTGTCATTCCTTCACTCACTCACCAGGAGCAGCAGGGAGCATCTGAGGTCGGGTAAGGATAGGAAGACCGCAGGATTCATGATAACGCTGGGGTCCACCGCAGGGACAGACGTTGGCGGCTGGGACCGGGCGGGGGGGGAGGGTTGGGTTAGGAAAGGGTTGGGCTCCGGGAGCCAGTGGCAGCGGAGGATTCACCCAGCAGCGGCACCTCGTCCTCTCGACCCGGAGCTCCAGCGGCGAACACCCGGGACAACTTCCAGAGAGGCCTCTCACGCCCTCCCTTCCGGGTCCTGCCCACCTCGGAGCACATCGGGAAATGTAGTCTTGCAGCGCTCTCGGGCGGGCACGTCATCGGACAGTCGGAACTCCCTTTCCCATCAGGCTCTCGGCCCAGGTCTACAGAGTGCTCTGTGCGCGGGGCCCTGTGGGAGAGAAAGGGCGGAGGGCGTGTGTACCTCCGAGGATGAGAACTACAATTCCCAGAGGGCTGTGCGGTGGAGAGATTCGGGCGGCCTTTTGAGGGGCTCTGCTAGTTTCAGCGTGTTGGGATCTGTCCCAGCCGGATGTAGTGTCCTGGCCTGGCGGGAGGGGCGGCCCAGTGGGGGTCGTGCCTCCTGGAGCCGCCCCGGGACGTGTGTCCTGGAGGAGGCGAGGGTGAGTAGGAGGGGGCCTGGCTCGGGATGCTTTCATCGATCGACACTGCCCTGGCCGCTACCTAAGATTCGCAGCCCTCCTGGCCTGGTCTGCGGCCTGAGCCTCCATCCCTGGTCTCAAAGCCTGCTGCCTCTTTCTGTGCTAATTCCTGCATTATAAAGTAACGCAGAGTCAGTGATTTAAGTCGTAGTTTCCCTGTGCACTCCTGTAAGGAGTAGATAGATAGGGGATGGAGTGGGAAAGAAAGTTGTAAACAGAAAACAAGTGTGAGTGATTGCTATAATGCATGGGTCACTCGTACAGGATAATTACGAAATTCTGGAGCCAAGCAGTTGAGAATGTTAACATGGCTCCAGTTAGCTCTCCATCCTCATCTCCAAAAACCCCGCCCCAGATGGTAGCCACTCAATCACTACTAAATATCCCGGAGGCATTCTGCTGCTTTGTGATTCTCCCTGCACCCTGCCGTTCTCCATCTTTCCTGCTACCTAGAAAGACCTTTAACCCATTCCCTTTATGGAATATCATCTCAAAAATGTCACTGTGGGGGACCGCAACACCGGCGGGTCCTAGGTGTGTCTGAAGAAAAGAATATCACGAAGCACCAGAATAAAGCCAGCAACAAAGTTTATTAGGAAGCGATAGGACAGAATAATGCGTGCTAGAGGGAGTAGGCAGTCTCAGAAAGTGGGAAAGCTGCACCTAGCAGTAAAGCAGTAGCATTTTCAAGGTTTTCTGTTTGGTGGGTGGGGAGGGGCACCTCTTAATTATGCATACCTTGCTCCCATCACTCCTGCCGATTCCGGGACTAACTCAAATGGCTCCCTCTTTTCGAGTCCAGGGAAAAGACTCTTCCCAGACCTGCCAGATCTTATCTGGACCTTGAAGCAAATCGATAGCCCCTGGTGGACTGTGAGATTGCAGAAATGCAGATCTGAAATGTTCCTCTGGGGGAGTGTGAGACCTTTTCTATCCTTAACATCACCACCTCTAAGATCTTGCCAACAAGCTAACCCTATATAATCAGAATTATTCTTCCTTGGTTTGTGACTACAGTGCACCACCAGTTTTGTACAGTTATAATTATTAAAGCTTTTATTGCACTGACTTAAAACTAGTCAATGAGGATACCTTTGCATTTTATAGCACATAATAATAAAGTGATTTTAATTTTCATATATAAGAATATTTACAAAAAACATTGCTGCTAAAAAATACATTTGAGCTAAAAATGCACCTAAAGGAGAGCTTTCCCACGGTGACAACATTAGTGGTAGAGCCAAAACTTTTAATTAGGTTTCCTCTCTCCTAGTTCAATGCTATTATCTCTATTCCACCCATCTACCTCTCTGACAGAACAGATAGAAATGGGGAATTTTAAACAAGCCAAGACCAAAAAAAAAACCCATACTCACTACTCCAAGAAATTAAACTTTGATCCTGCTCACCCGCTGGACTTAGCACTTAGCCTATGACGTTTTATTCAACAAACATTTACTGAACACCCATTGTTTACCTTTAACTGTGCTAAATGCTAAGAATTATGAGGTGAAATATGTGAGATATATGTTACGTATATGTGATACATATGTGCATATGTTACATCTAATTTTTAGTGTATTTTTCAAAGGGTATAAAGAACTTTTTTGTAACTTTTTTTGAGGTAGCATTGATTTACTACATTTTATATGATTTAGGGGAATATGTTCACACCTCAGATGTATGTTACCACACCACACCCACCATCAAAGCATTCTTAATTCTCCCCTTCTAGTAGCCTAAATTCTGCAATCAGATTGCTGGGATTTGTTTTGGTTTATTTTGTCTGTTCCTTTGTTTTGTTTCTTTATATTCCACATATGAGTCAGTGAAATCATCCAGTATTTGTCTTTCTCCTGATTTAGATCACTTAGCAATAATCCTCTCTAGTTCCATCCATATTGTAACAAATGGCAAGATTTCATCTTTTTCTTTTTTAATATACCTGAGTAGTATTCCACTATGTATATACCACATTTTCTTTATCTACTCGTCTGTTATGGGACATTTAGATTGCTTCTGTAACGTGGCCATTGTTAAGCAGTGCTGTGATAAAGTAGTGCGCTCTCTAATAGGAGTGCATATCCCTTAGAATTAGTGCATTTGCACTCTTTGATAAATACCAAGGAGTGGAATTGCTGGATCATATAGTTTATTTTTTTAATATTTTGAGGAACCTTCATATTGTTTTTCGTAGGGGCTAGACCAATCTACATTCCCAGCAACAGTGTATGAGGGTTCCTTTTTCTTCACACCTTTGCCAGCTTTTGTTGTTTCTGGAATTTTTGATATGGGTGATTCTCATATCAGTGTGAAGCAATATTTCACACTGTGGTTTTGAGGTGAATTATCCTGATGAGAAGTGATCTTATATTATTTTTCATGTGCCTGTGGGGCATCTGGATATCTTCTTGAGAAGCGTCTATTTAGCTTGAAGAGCTTTCTTGTGGTAATATGTCTAATACTTTGATCACTAGGAATCTAAAAATGCCAGGTATTAGAGTTCAATACAGTGCCTAGCACATAATTGACACTCAGCCTGTTGAATGAATAAACATTGGACTATCTTTCTCATTTTTCATATTTTACAGAAAATCCGCATGACGTAGCCTAAGGGCATGCTGCTTATTATTAACAGAACTGGACCTTGAACCCAAGCACAATTACTCCTCTCCTGTGTTTTCACGTACCTGATATGTAGCTTCTTTCAAGTGACTTTAACATAATTCTGTATATGACAGTGGTTTTTCTGACATGACACATGCTCAGACAGAAATTTCTGACAATGATATTTTGTGCCAGCATGTCAAATTGTCAATGAAATAAAGACTTGAAAAGCTGACCTTTACCAAAATTAAGAAAATACTTTCATTCTAAGGCAGAACTTGAACCAATAATCCTTGTCAATGACAACTAAATGCTAGCTCATGGATTGTGATAAATTTATCTTACAAAGCTCCCAGATCCTGGAAGTCACAGAGATTAGAGCAACAATTTTGGGTGAAATCGGAAGAAGGCTCACTTTCCTTGTCAGCAGCTACTAGCTATAACTTATTAACAGCTTTTCCTTTTAGATAAGTATGTGTGTTCCAGTTTGCCATGATCCCATGACGCCTGTGTTTTTTACACTGATCATCTACCATGGTTCTTGTAGGCATTCAACATTGCATTAAATCTATATATAATCTATAGATTTAGTAAGGAAATTTAAGATCATTGATGCAACTATTTCTCTTTCCTTCTCATCAACTGATTCTTTCTGCTACATTTCTGACATAATCCAACCTCAGCATAAACACTCTTGGAGAACTCACTGTTTTCCCATGCTACTAATGCATTTGTAGAAGATTCTAGCAAACCATATTAGAATATCAGTCAGAACAAAATTTTCCTCCATGAAATATCATTACTCCTAATGGTGTAGTATCCCAAATAAGATCCTAAAGTCAAGATCTTAACCTAGATATATTTTCCTAGTGGACAGGTAGAGAGGACCAATAAAAATTATTCTTTTGTGGGACTGAGGGAAAAAATATATACTTTCTTTTCCAAAGAAGACTAATTTGGAAGGTTATAAATTTTATATTTAAGTATAATTGTTCTTTAGAGGTAAAATTCACATAAAATTCAACATTTTGTGGGCCTCCCCTGGTGGCGCAGCGGTTGAACACTGGGCTGCGAAGCTGCCCACAGCCTCTGCAGCACCGGTTGGATCCCCGGCTGCCTGCGAGAGTCCCACATGGCATGAAAGACCTCTCTTGCCGTACCTGCTGCTCCCCTCAGCAGTGTATTTCCCTCAGTCTGCCTGTTCTGTTCCCCGCTCTGGCTCTGGTGAATCCTCTCACCCTCCCACGCTTCTGACTGTACCCAGTGCTTTTATAAATAAATAAATAAATCTTTAAAAAAAATTTTTTAACATTTTGTAAGTGTACAATGTGATCGAATTTATTATCTGCAGTTATTAGGTACCTTTTAATTTAGTGCTTAAATCTAATTAATTCTGACCTGACAATTAAGTCCACATCATACCCATTTTGTGACTTGGTCATACCTTTATTCTCAATATCAATTCTCAATATCATGTTTAATATTGTGGGGAATCAAATAATCTCTGTCTGTATAGAAATCATCAGGGAGTTTGAGCCCTATGCCTAATGTTAACTGCTGAGCCCCCTTTCTTCCTCAAATGGCCCTTCAGAAGGGTTTCTTAGAAGCTCAAATCCTCTAATTTCACAGTTGAGCAACTTGTACAAAGGGTCACCTAATTACCTAGATCATGATAATTCTAGGCCTAGGATTATAGATTTTTTTGAATCCTACTCAAATATTTCTAGTAAACCATATAACATAGCCACTTAGAACTGATGAGGCAGGTCAGAAATGTTTTCTGTTTATACTTACTTACATTATTATTTCAGGCTGCTGCAGTTAATGAGAATACTATGAATAAGTCAGAGAACTTGTTCGTTACTGGTTCTTCATTGGCGTCCCAGGTTCATGCCGCTGCTATTAATGGAGATAAGGGTGTTCTTCACAGGCTCATCATAGGTAAGCAATCCCCTTAAGCAGAGAAGAGAAACTTTAAGAATAACTCTTTGTCCTAAGGAAGTCTGTTAATTTTAGCTTTAATTTGCAATGTATTTACACATTTTAATGGAATTATGTTATTATGTCTATATTTTGTACTTGAACAAGAAAGAAATTAAGTCCTAAAACTTAAAAATAGAGATTGGATAAGGTGAAAATTACTTGAGAAATATCTGCATATTTGGCATTGGATCTGGATATGTACTCTAAAGTGCTAAGGGAATTAATTCATCTTTGTAGTAATAGCGATCTAGACTGAGATAGTAGATAATGAACTTTTTATATACCTAAAGTACTAGGGTACAGATAATTTAAATTTTAATGATTTTAAATTGATTCAATGTACTCTCCACCATTGATTCGACTGAGAAATCAATACAATATTCTTCCTATCATATATATTTAGAGAGATCCAATATAGAAATTCTAGAAGGATAGAACAGTGTAACTAGGGAAGAGGCAATATTCAACACTGACATAGGTAAGAATTATCCAGAATTGTGAAAACCACATATCCCCTTATTCATAGACCCTTAGTCCCAAAGAGAATAAATAAGATTAAAATGTATATCATTTGTCATTTTCGTGCATAGCAGTGTCTAGTAACATAATTGACAATTCTAGCTAGGCTTTCCGTTCCTCAGTATACCATGGGTTTTTGTCTTACTTTCCTCTATACATCTATTCGCTCTCCTCTTTTCTACATTCTACCCCCTTACCTTCTTCTCTACTAAACAAACTCCTACTCATTTTTGAAAACAGAAGTCTTTTACTACAAACGCTGAAGATTTTCACTTCTCCTTCACTACCCACATTCACAGTTCCTCACTGGAACTTGACATCTTTCACCACCTGAACATAACACCATTCAACTAAAACTCACTTCCAGCTCACTTGTTACCAAGAACAATAGTTTTCAGCCTCACTGAGACCTCCAGTCTATTATCTTCTCCACTTTTGACCATCATTCTTCTGTCTTTCTCCCCATTTGGGTTTGATTCTATAGTCTATTATTAAAATATTTCTCTTGGAAAAATTCTCTTTCTCCTCATCTTCTGTTGCACTTGTTTGTTGTAATCCCAAGTCTAGATGGACCATTTCCGTCTGTCAACCACTGAACAACTTAACTTGGCTGGAAGATTCATATCTCCCTAAAATCATGATTAACCACTTCATATAGGCAGGTGCTCGATACTATCACTCATCATTCCACATTTCTCTATAGTGAATGGTTATACTTCTCACAAAACCAAAACCTCTGACTGCCGGTTCTCCCTCTATTCTCAGCTTTATGCTTCCTACAGAAAATGAAGACATTAAATAGGAACTCCCTTATATTTCACCTTGATATCTACAAATCATTTTACATCTGCACTCATTTTCTTCTTTTCTTATTGAACATAGCAATTCTTCCACATATGCTCTGTATTCCAGCCCTTCCTATCAGCTCATGGACCTTGCTCCATTTTTTCTTTAAATCTCTGTTCATTGTATCTTCACTCTTTTCTTCTGTTCTTCCAATCAGCATGTTAACATGCTCTGTTTTCTCCATTACTTAAAAATCCCATCCCTGTTCCTTCATCCCCTGTAGTTATTGCCACATCTCTCAAGTTTCCTTTATAACTTATCAGTGCACTTGCTAAACTGCTGCAGCAGTAACTTAAGTAAGATGGAAATATTTTTAATTCTCAAAACAGTACAAAGGTAAGTGGAAACTCGGGTAGATACACATCTCTGCTTTACAGAATCATCAAGGGATGCTGCTAGGCCTTGGCTCTTAACACACCATCTTGACACACCACTTCCATCTCCAAATCAGAGACACATACATTCCCTGTAGTCATAGCTGAGCCAGTAGGAAGAGGGAAAGAGGGCAAGAAAGCAATGTATCATTAAGGAGGTAGATGGGACTTAGACACAGAACCACATCTAAGACGAACAAGGAAAAATAAAAGTCATATCCAGCTAAAACTTAGGGTGCTTAATTCCTAAAGTGAAGAATGAAAGAATGAATATGGTGGCAGTTACCGCTCTGTCACCAAAACCAAGGCCCTTGACCCATCTGTATCCATGGTTCCCATTTCTTTCTCTCAACCCACTCTTTTATTAGAAGAAACAAAGCATTCATATTTTGAAGTATACATAGAAGAAGTACAAATAATGTATTTGTAAAGTTTAACAAACAGATATAAAACAAACAACCCTGTAATTATCCGTAGGTCAGGGAAAAGAATATTGTCTGATTCCACAGAATCCCCTAATGCATTCTTCCCGTCCCCCTGGAGTAATTTGCTATCTTGATTTTTATAGTAATAATTGCATTGTAGTTTTACCATTGAACTCTTAAACACTGTAACTTAGTCATGCTTCTTTTAGACTTTTTTTTTTTTCTAAATGATCCATGTTACTTGCACTGGAAATTGTATAAACAGTTATATATAATTTTTGTGCTCAAAGCTCTTTAATTACTTTTCATTGTACTTGGGATAAAATGTATAAATATACTTATATCTCTTTCCCATTCCAATCCTTCCTTTTACCATTTTCTTCCTAGAAAAACTTGCTTTCTTTCAGTTTTTCAAACCTGCCAAGCCTATTTCTATCACAGGGCTTTAGCCAAACCACTGTTCTCCTCATTTGCTATCTTACTCATCCTTCAGATCTCAGCTTTAAGGTCCTTCTTTCAAGAGACTTGCCCCAATCCTCCAATCTCAGTGACATGTGTTCATTGCCTTCTCTCTTGGAATTCTGCAGTCTTCTCTGAGAAGGCCTGTCTGTTGTTATAACTCTGAATCTATATATATGACTACTTTCATGTTTTTCTCCTTTGTATGAATAGAAACTTGGTCTGTTTAATACATAAAATCCAGCAGCTCGGCACACTGTAGACATATGAGAATTATTGTTGAAGGAATGAATTAGTATTAAAACCGTTCTTCTAAGTATCTTTGCTCCCAAGAAGTCTATAATCATCCTGAGGGCAAGGACTAAATGTGAGTTGAGTTGAATTGAATTAAATTGACAAGTAGATTAAGATTAAATTCCTTAGGAAAAAAAAAAAATAAGTCAGAATACCTAAAGAAAAAATAACCTTATGAAATGAATTATCTATTATTTTCATGAAAACAATTTTCAAAGGAAACAAAATGTGCAGCATGTTGTAAATTAAAAACACTTATAAGGCTCAGTTATACAGATTAGCTAATTATTACATAATAACACTTAAAATTTTCTTATAATTTAATATCCTCAAAAAAATTCTTAAAAACAAAAAAAAATTTATGAGATGAAACCAGTATTGAACTGAAAAATTTATTTATAAATTATTTCTCTATCTTTTATATCAGTTTTGTCTAAGGAAGCCCTTGATTATGAACTGTAATGCTGCTTGTCTTTTTGAAGAAGTCTGCCATTATGTCTTCTGTGCAAAGACAGTAATACCTTTGCTCTGTGCTATTTCCCAACATTTGTATATTCCTACTAAATAATAATTGTTTCATCTTAAATTTCAGTGTAACTTAAACATTCTTTTATGTAGCACATGTTTGATAAGCTCTAAATATATGCTATTTCTCTTTTCTAAACTAGTAACATAGTACTATAGATGAATTGTTTTTTTCTAAAATCTTTGCACACCAACTGCTCAGTGAATTCATTCATTTTAGCATTTTCTGTTTTCCCTTCTCTGTTTCCATGGAGAAGTATGTCAGTGATGTGTTTGACTCCATGGAAACAGACGAGCATCTCTTTCTACATACACAACTAATTAAATTGAACACTTTTCTGTGCTGCCCATTGTCCTGGAGGAGGACTGAAGAGGTTTTTCTGGAATGAGACATAATTTTAATAGCAGTTCTAGTGTTTAATCTGATACAATGGATTAATTAACATAACTCATTACATCCGAGAGTCCTATGAATTAGGGTTCAGTCTTGGGCCCTACATTCATAAACATAGTAAAATCTTTATGTTCTGTGGCTATCATTTATAGTTGTGTAGCTTTTTCTCTTAATATCAAACTCAAGTAATTAGAATGACTCCCAGAGACAGTTGATAGTAGATTCATTTTAATACTGTACAGTGTAGTGTAATAGAAAGGGTATGGATTTAGAGTCCACTGAATCTGAGTTTTGAGTTTTATCAGGTTGGACTTAAAATAATTGCCTCTTATGTAGTTTCAGAAATGCTGCAAAATGAAAATCACTAAACACTACAAAGAATAGTATAATAGTATTATTTTCTTTATGAAAGCCAAACAAAATAATTTATAAATATGCTGCATGTAATAATTGACATTGACATTCCTGCTCCTAGTGTTTGGGGGTGTTTGCAGTGGTCAACTGACCAAACAGCACTATCCTGATTCCTCTACAACTTTGGATGCCCTGTCCATGTTTGAGCAAGTATAAAACTCTCTGAATTCTTTTTCTAACATCTCCCAACATTGTGGTTAGGATGGCAGGAACCCTCGTAAGTGGTGAAGTAGTAGCATTATTTCAAGCTAATTACCTTACTTCAACCCTGACCTCAAATGTCAGGGTCATAAAATATTTTATAAAAGTGTGCACACATGTATATATTATGTATAAATATACTTATGTGTATTTATGTATACTTATATATACTTAAGTATATTTAGGTATAAATATACTTAGGTATAAATATGGCACATTCTAGATACATGAGAAATATTTCTTCAAGGATTGAGTAAGTATTAAAACCATTCTTTAGGGCCTCCCCAGTGGCGCAGTGGTTGAGCGCTGGGTTGCGAAGCTGCCCGCAGCCTCTGCAGCGCCGGTTCGATCCCCGACCACCAGTCGAGGGTCCCACATGGCCTGCAGACCTCTCCTGCCACCCACTGCTCCCCTCAGCAGTGTACTTTGTCAGTCTGCCTGCTCTGCTCTCCGGTCTGACTCTGGTGAATTCTCTCACCCTCCCACGCTTCCGACTGTACCCCATGCTTATATAAATAAATAAATAAATCTTTTAAAAAATAAATAAATAAAACCATTCTTTAAAGTAAGTATCTTTGTTTCCAAAAAAGTACATAATCATCTTGAGGGCAATATTAATAATGGGGATAATTGCAATATTATAATTGAGTAATAGTAATAAAATTATCCATCATTCATAAAGTTATGTTTGTTCCAGGCACTGTATTAAATGTTTTGCCGCTTATTGATTCATTTAGTTAAGAAGTACTACAAAGAGTTTGGAATACTCTTAATACTCTTATTTTGTAGGTGAGCACACTGAGGTGTAGTGAGATTAAGTAACTTGTCTAATAAGTAACAGAACTGAAATTGAAGCCTGGAAGCCTGATTCTAAAATCTATACTTTTAACTTTTAAACCATGTACATTCATATCTGTAAGTCCACAGAGAATAAGAAAGACCAAAAAAAGAAATGTGTAGGTTTTAGCCTTAACTAATGAACTTAATGGTTATCTAGACTGGATTTTTCTTAACCTTTTTTGTCTTATGTGCCCTTTGGACAATCTAGTGAAGCTTATAGACCTGGTCTCAGAATTATAAATTTAAGAACTTGAATATAATGAATAGGAATCCAGAATCATCTATACTGAAATATAGTTATCAAAAGTATTTTAAAATTATAGCAGTATACCTGCAACCATTTTCTACATTAAATAGCAAGGATTTAGTGGTAGATCTAACAACTCTGATGCTTTCAACATATCAGTGACTGTAAATATTCTAAGATACCACAATTATAATGAGATAATATGGAACTATATTTTATAAAATTTCAAGTGCCCTCCAAATAGACTATGTTTCACATTATTATCATAATTCTCATCATATATCTTAGGACATTGAAAATCAGAAGTTAAGAAATTTGGTTGCATAGCTAATAACTACATAATTGAGGGTCAAACCAAGTAATTGGATTATGAATACCATGTTCTTTCCATTGTTCCCATGTTGCCTCTCTAAAAATAAGTAAATGTTTTTTCGAAATGACCACAAATGCCCTTGCAAGATGGTGACAAAAGGTGTGAAATTAGAAGTAGGTGAAAGTAGATGAAATGCATCTATGATGCCCAACATGGGTAACATTTTAGAACAAGAATATAAGATGTCAGTAGAGTATGCTGGATTTACTTGTGTTGCACAGTGTGGTGCCACAGCTCTCGTGTAGACTGGCACAACTTGTCACTACAAGTGACAGTCATTGTCAAGTTAGAGCTCTGGTTTCTGCACACACCAGCCCATTAACCATACAGGCTCTTCTGCTTCAACTAGCCTTAAAATAACTGAATGCGGTAGTGTAGTGACTTTTCCAATCATGTTCCAGTTTAGCTTTCCAAGCTGTGTCCAGACTGAGCATATGCAGAATGCCAGCCCTAGTTAGGCAAGCACCACTTGGCCATAGATTCAAGGCTATCTCTAAAGTTGCCGGAATAATTAAAACAACACTGTACACTAACCAGCTGCTTTCTATAATAGCTATTCCTGACAGGAATGCAAATTTAAGTGCATTGCCACCCAGTCAATATTAATTTACATCATAAATCCTACATGTATACAACATGTTGCAGTTACTAAATACTTCCAAACAAGAAATCATGCACTTGATCATCAAAACAGGCTTATATATAGTCTAGACAGGTATTGGCTGGATGTTATAATTGAAGAAACTAAGCAGGGAGGAGGATGGGTAGATAGATACAAGCCTCTCTCAGTTGCTGTCTTTTAGCAGGAAGCCCAGACACTGACGGGACCCTCACTACTCAGAAACTAGCCATGAAGACTCTATCCCCCTAAAGCAACTCAAAACAGGACCCAACTGAGACTGACTGCTGCTTTTTCTTATCATGAATGGGGAATACAAGCTCTCACTTTCCCTACTTACCCCAAATGCACCTTATAGGCACAACAAATGGGATGGTGGTACCATAATCCAATTAACTCTTCTCTGTTGGGAAGTAGAAATACCAGTTACACGAAAACAAATTATGTAAGGAGTTGAAGGCTTGAAGTTTCCCTGCATTTTACAGCAAACTTGGGAAGAGCATAGCAATTAACCTAAAGTTTCATGCCTTAGGAGGTGGAGTTACCTATTAACCCCTTGGTACTGACTCACTTTGGCCCTGAGAAACCTAATCACTAAGGATTATCACAGTGGGCAATGATTGCCTGCATTTCTCAACCTTTGTTCTTGCAACACAGTTCCTAAATCTGTTCCTTTACTAAAGCTTTCAAGGAAGAATACCACTGTAGGGGAAAATTAAAATTTGAATTGCTATCATCTTGTCAATATTATGTACTATTGTCTTTGCTTAACACTAATGTCCTTTAATCATGAAAGATAACTGGAGACTAACTTATTGTAGCATATTCTCTCTAAGTATCAATTTGACTCTGGAAAGGTTTAAATATAAGAGGAATGTGTTCTGCCTATAATACCTTTTAGTCCTGTTAATGAGTTTGGGTTTAAATGAATCTTACCTATAAGTGCAATGACAGATTCTCAGAATCTTCTGGATTAGGTATTGGAGGTCCTTGTAGAAAGAGTAATACCTACCACTCTTTTACCACTCAGAAGACATGTGCACAGAGGTTTGTATTCTAAGATATGTCGAATCAAATGCAAACCTTACTGGGCGGCCTCCCTGGTGGCACAAGGGGTTGAGATGCAGCCTATGGAGCTGTCCGCAGCCACTGCAGCACAAGTTCGATCCCCGGCCAGGCACAGCAGACCTCTCCTGTCTCACCCACTGCTCCCCTTAGCAGTGTATTTCACTCAGTCTGCCTGTTCTGTTCCCCAGTCTGTCTCTGGTGAATCCTCTCACCACCACCCCCACACACACACCTCTGGCCTGTACCCCGGTTCTTGTATGCATAAATAAATAAATCTTTAAAAAAAAACGCAAGTCTTCTGTTTTCAAAAACCCTGAAAAAGAACATCGGCCTCTTTCAGGAGTCATACACAACCTGAATATGTTTATGCAGCACTTTCAAATTTCAGGACCTATGACCTTTTTTGATTTATTACCAGGATACATGGAAATATGGATTAGACAATGAGTTGTTACCTGAGAAGCTGGGTCCAGCACATCCAAAGTTTAAGTACATGTTGAAATATTTCCAACTAAAAGAGTACCTTAGTTTTGGGCACAAAACAACTCAAACAGAAATGCAACACTTTCTCTTTCATCATCTAGCATTTTTATTTCCCTAGAAAAAAGATTTCATTTGATCAGTTTTCTTCCCCCTTAGTGTATGATAGTCATCTTAATGAAAATACTAACATTTTTGTCACTTAAAATGCATGGTGGAAACCTGGTCTCTTTTCTTGTTTATAAATCACTTTTTTTGAGGAATGCTGTGGTGGATTTCACCCTTTTCAGTGTATAGGTATTTAATTTTCACAAATATGTAGTCATGTAATCACCACCACCATCAATATAAAAACAGTCCCCTCACACCCCTTAATTGCTCTGTATCCCTTTATAAGCAATCTCTCCCCACATCCCAGCCTCTGGTCTGTGTCCCTATTGTCTTAACCTTTTCCAGAAAGCCATGTAAATAAATCATACAATATATAACCTTTAAGACTGAGTTCTTGCACTTAGTGTAATACATTTGAGCTTATTCAGTGACATTGAGTAGATCAGTACTTCATTCCTTTTTTTTTTTGCTTTTTTTTTTTTTTTTTGCTGAGCACTATCCATTGTATGGATGTACTAGAGTTTCTTTTGTCATTTCACAGTTGGACAGTTGAAATGTTTCCAGATTTTAGCAATTAAGGGTGAAGATTCCATAAACATCCACCCACAGGTTTTTATGTGAACATAAACTTTTATTTCACCTGAGTAACACCTAGGAGAGATTATTGGGCTATGTAGTAAGTATATCTAAATAGTAAGAAACTGACAGTTTTTCATAGTGGCTATACCATTCTGCCTTTACTAGTGATGTCTGAGAGTTCTGGTTCTTCATCCTCACCAGCATTTTGCCGGGGGTTTTGGTTGTAATTAGCAGGAGAAACAGGGTAGAATGCACTGGCTCCTTATTGTCAAAACCAAGAACCAACTGTGATTCATTTTTGTGTCTCATAAAAAACACACTTCAATGCATGATATATGGTCTGTACTAAATAATTATTTGTTGACAACAGAAAGGAGGGAGGAAAATAAGTAGCTCCATATCTCAAAATGTTAATTCAATATAACATAGTAGTTAAGAATACAGTTTTTAGAGCCAAACAGTTTGAATTCTAGCTCTACCACCTACTTTCAAGGTGAATGTATACTAGCTGCTTCACCTCTTAATTTGCTGCCTTATGGAGAGGGTAATTTCTACTTCATAGGGTAACTGAAAATGAGGTAATATATTTAATGCATTTAGCTCAGCATTTTGTAGTAAATAGGAAATTTAATTCTTGTCAAATATCACTAATGTTTCTTATACTTTTAGGAAACTCTGCCCTTAAAGACAAGGAAGATCAGTTTGGAAGAACCCCACTTATGTATTGTGTACTGGCGGACAGACTGGATTGTGCAGATACTCTCTTAAAGGCAGGAGCAGATGTTAATAAAACTGACCATAGCCGGAGAACAGCCCTCCATCTTGCAGCTCAAAAGGTAAGAAGTAAAATTTTCAATAAGTAAACTTTTGGCATGGCATTTGTTAGTTCACTAATGGGATGATGCAGTTCAAGGTAACAAAGAAATCACAGCTAGATGAATCTTGTTTCATATGTTTTCTCTAAAAACCGTCTTTAAACTGTAGAAAGTAAAGCACGGATAACCATCAGTGGCTACTTGTCCAGGTTCCAAACAATGGAACTTTATCATCTTTTATGATTTTATGACTTATTTTCAGTTGAGGAAAATGAATCAAAATTACATATACATCTCATCAAACTATATTAAAAATTAATTTATGTGCCAAAAACAAGAAAAACAAAAAAAAACCTATGAAGATATTATTATTGGTTGGTTTTAAATATTGGAAATATGTGAATTTTTGTACTTTTCATTACTTAATTTTTCTTAATGAGTATTACTTTTTAAAAAAAAAAACCTCAAAATATGTCACATTGTGGGGCATAAAAGAATTTATTTTCTGAATGTATTTTTGACTTCTAAAAAAATCTAAAATGATATTACCAGTATAAATTATTTCATATTTTGAAATACATTAAGAGTTCAGATTTTTAAGATTAAACATATAAAAAATGTGAACTCCTATATTTATTCAAAAACCTATTTACTTGAAAACTCCCTCCCCTCATAAAACTTTGGTATATAAAATATATTCCTAGGATCTGGTATTTTTCTTTTTGTTACTTATATTTTGGGAATGAAAAGCAATGAAAATTAGTTAGATCCAAGTGATTTCCTATTAAAAAATGTGAACCAGATATAGCTGATTAATTGAGGGGTTAGAAAAACACCTTTTCATAAGTTTAACACATAAAAAGAGACTGACAGAAACATATACCACTGAATATGCTACTTATGTGCTCTGATCAGTTAGGTCTGTCAGGTTATTTCCAAAGTTATTGCCCCTGAATTTGCTTTTCATTATAGTATTTTTTAAAAGTTCCTGATTTACAACTTCAGTTTTAACTACTGCTTAGTATTTATAACCTTTCACCTAGGCTTGTCAGTTGTTAAAATTATTCACTCAGGAAGGATAACTCCATTTAACTTAATTATCATAAAAAAGTAAACATTTCATGATGGTGCACAGGTGCCTTGGGGAAGGAGATTCTATGGGGACTCAATCTAAGGGGGTGGGGGAAAGCAAATATTGTCTAAAAAAATGTAAAAAAATTGATAAATGTTAAAAAAAAAGTAAAAAAAAAAAAAAAGTAAACATTTCAGACTGGGAATAGCCCCAATATAAAAAGTTTGATATACTTTAGATTTTTTTGTTGTGACTCATTTTGTTTTAAAACTCACTTCAAAAACAGAGTTTTGAAGAACTTAATATCAAGTGGATCGTGTGAAAAACAAAGGATATGAGTGGATGATCAAACAGTTTGTCATCTTTGTAGAGATATAATGTGCTTAAAAAGGTTAAGAGAAGTGAAGTGTACCATCAGACGTATTAGTTGTAAGTCTTCAGAAATGCAGTGTATGCTTTTATTTTGTTTTTTTTAGTCATTTTTTAAAATTTTTTTTAATTTTATGTATTTTTTACATCATTTTTCATTTTTGCACAATGTATGCATTTTCATCTTGGTTATAATCCCCATACAATTCCCACCTCCCTTCTCTGGACCCTAATCCCTCCTCCCCCTCCCCCTAGTGTGTCTCTGGATTATAGTTAATTGTTGATTTTGATTTTTTACTTTATTATAATTACTCTTTTTCCTGGGGCCTTATTTAGGTTTTCTAAATTCCTGCTATAAGTGAGATCATCCAATATTTTTCTTTTTCTCTCTGGGTTATTTCATTTTGTTTCCCCTTTATTTTTTTAATTGTGATTTATTTTAGTCAAAGAATAAATAGAACTGTGATTTACATGTTATAGTTGATTTCATAAATAACAAGTTTTATGTTATTTCAGCTATCAGATAATTATGCATTTCCCCTTGTTCTGTGTTGCTGTTTGGTTTTGCATTTTTGCTAAAAGTAGTAATGCATCTTTCGGTCATACTAGCACAAGTACAAAGTGTAGTAACAAATTTTGTAGTACTCTGCTCTATCCAGATCAAATCTGAGTATTGTGTTTAGTGTTCTGCTTCATATGAAAGCACCATTATTAAAAAATCAGACATAATATAGATCAGGGAGGAATAAGGATCTAGAAGTAATTTTCAAAAACTTATAATTGGAGATGACATGTGCCAAGTCTATAGAACACCCTTCCTCTGAGCAGTCACAAAAATAAATTTGCTTCAGAGAAAACATCTTCACCTTAAATTTCCAGAATTTCCCTGTTTTAAAATATTCCAAACATGGTCTCAAAGTGAAAGATCACCAAACACATGAGGAAGTTCTCCACCATGAATGAGAGTCAGCGGAAAAGATAAACAGACATATTCCATCAAAAATATCAGCTATTGGGCCTCCCCGGTGGTGCAGCGGGTTGAACACAGTGTTGTGAAGCTGTCCGCAGCCTCTGTAGCACTGGTTCGATTCCCGGCTGGCCAGGGAGATTCCCACATGGCGCAGCAGACCCCTCCTGTCGAGCCCACTGCTCCCCTCAACAGTGCTTTCAGTCCATCTGCCTGTTCTGCTCCCCACTCTGTCTCTGGTGAATCCTCTCACCCTCCCGCACCTCTAGCCTGTACCCCAGCTATTGTATAAATAAAAAATAAATCTTAAAAAAAAAAATCAGCTATTGGCAACATTAGAAACAAAATGTAAAATAATTGTTGACAGAATGTTTAAAGATTTTAAAAAGAAGAAATCAGAAATGTGAGTAAGCTATAAGAGATTTTCATAACTAGGTATATAAGTTCTGACTATGACCACTTCTTTTTGAATAATCCATGTGCCAAAAACAAATAAAAAATTGAACAAAATATGTACACTGTTTGAAGGCATTGAGAACAATAAGATCCAAGAAGCTATGTCCATTCGAAGAGAGTACCATGTGAAATTAGCTTCACATTCATCCTGGCTTTTTCCTTTAAAATGTTTTTCAAATTGGAATGTAAAAGAATGCAACCCCAGCAAGAAGCAGTATTCTTAATTCTAAGGCTGAGAGACTGAGGTAGAGTTTAGAGTTGACTGTGAATAGAACTCAAAGACCAAGATTTTGGAGAGAAGTAAACTTCAGAGAAGGAACCCAAAAATCTGGTTATAGAGTCCTCACCTGTCACTAGCAAATTGCTGAACTGTGCTTGTATAGGGTGAGACTGAAAAACCCAGCAGTAACCATCAGCTGGAAACTAAAGAGCTAACCAGAGATTGTTTAAAAATGATCATATATTTTCTTTCCTACTTAAGTATTTTAATACATCACACACTGACTTTTGTAGAAGGATTCATTCTCATTTTAAAACATATGAATAACTAATTTTCCCAGGACAACCTAGCTCATTAATTTTCAGCCACTTATATGCTGTGTGCCAGTGCCAAGCTCTTAGTACTATGTACTTCTAATACCACCTTCTTTTCTTTTAGAGAAGGCTCCTGAATATTAGGGAGCCACTAGGGAAATTCAAAAATAAAAGCTACATGATCTACTTCAAGGGAACTAATCTGGTAACTAAAGTTGCTTTGGAAGAGGAGGAGAACAGAGCTACATAGAAAGTGATTATCATTCAGACCAGTAGAGAGGAGCAGATGGATGCAATAGATATATTGTGGAGGGAGAACTGCTCATTCGCTAAGTGTTTCCTAAAATTCTGCTATGTAGTAATGATTATACACCTCGAGAGAAAATAAAAATAAATTATATGTCTGCTATCAGTATTCTCAGTACCGATTCCTATTAAGCTTTATTTCCCTTTGTTTCCTGAATTTCTCTGATATATCAGATATCAAATATTATTTGAATAGTGTCTATCCCACTTAATTCTGTTACCCGTGAACTTGGAAGAGTACTACTTATGTAATCATCAACAGACATGTATGTGTGTATGCATGCACCACATGTTAAAATTGTAATATGTAACAAGTACTATATGAGGCCATGGAATACAAAGATGAAAGACATGATTCCTGCTTACAAAGATAAAGACATTAAGTGACAGTTGAAGCTGGCCCATTTACTTTACAGAGCCTAAGTGTTTTATAAATTGTCACCAGACAACATATAAATAGTCATTACTATTACTGATCTGAGGATCAACCATTCTCATGTTATTTTTGTTACAATGAACTACATCATATTATCTTCCCTTGGTTTTATTAGTAGGAGAAACTCATGTTCCCATAGCATTTTGTTCATGTCTCTATTAGAGCCTCATTACCTTGTATTGTAATTATTGCTTACTTATCTCTTTCCCACTAGATTGGAGCTCCAGGCAAAAACCTTATTTTATTTTTCTTCTAATCCCCTAGATTCTAACACCATGTTGACATGTCTTGATTAAATGAATAAATACATTTTTATTTTACTTGTATAGAAAGTCATTACTAATACAAATGCTAAATGGTTTTTTTTCTTTTAGAAACATTGACCCAATTCCAAAGTACATATATGGGAAAAACTATGGTGATTGACATAGTAAATTTAACACATATTCATTTCTTTGGAAACCAATTGTTATTAGTCCACACCACTAAGGAAATAGTACCCATGAGAATAAAATTAATCTCAATATACTGAACATCTGCATCTAATTTGTTTTTTATTGAGTACCCTCAGCTTAATCTAAGAAAGCAATCAGTCATACCTTTTCTGAGTTTCTCACAAAAGGTATCTAATTGTTAGAAATGTTTTGCTGCAGGGAAGCTACTGTTTCTCTGACTTCCACAGATACAGTTATTTGTTTATAAGGATTAAAAAAAACTTTAACAGTCTTGCTAATTGTTAACCATTAATACATTTTTCATCTTCCAGGAAGTTATTAATTTGACTTCAGGAAGATTAAGACTACCCAGTTTGAAAAGTTACAAAATGTTGAACACAAAAATTAAAAAGCTTCAGGCTGCAGTTGTGGTTTTACCTTTTTTAA